ACCCACTTTTTTCAAGTAAAAGTTGGTAATGATCGGATGTCTCTTCGAATAAGATTTTTGTAGCTCGATCATATCGACATCGATTCATCGAATTTATTCAAAGTTTATTTTCAAAGCATTATGAAATGCCATTTTGGTACACATGGCAAAAAGCATATCGCTCAAACTAAAAAATTTGTTTAAGCATTTTCAAAATCAATTTCTTGTATTTTTTGATGCAAGAATTGTACACAACAATCCCGTGATCTGACATTTCGTTCGATGCACTACATTTTCTTGCCAATCATATTTTACAACATAGGATAAGTCCACATAGCGCATTTTGCTTTCCTCTCGCATTTTGCTACAAGCTAAGCCAGTTTTGCAGCCCAGTTCCATTAGTATGAGAAAGTTTCCACCATTTACTTGATACCAGCGCTCGCATTTGATCTGGTATGAACTTTCTCTCTCTTCTCAACATTGCCTTGATTACGATCATCAGTTTGCAGGTATTTTCTGGGGACGACATGCGATGCATCGCCGTATTTGGCCAGTCATCGTCCTCTGGATTCGAGATGCCAGCAGAATTGCCAGCGCCGTTCCGTTCGGTAGGGCCAACTCCTTTCCACCCGGCTAACACACCAACAGGTGGAGCTTCCCTTGATAATGCCTCGACTGGGCCTCGCCCTCTGCTTGATCGTCCCACGGACGTGGCCATAGCTCCGGATGGGCGGATTTACGTGGTGGATTTTGGTAATAATTGTGTGCGCGTGTTTTGAGTGGTCTCAACCACTCTCATCGATGCTAAGATGTGATCTTTTCGTTCATCAAAGGTGGAACCTGGCTCTAAGCCAACATTTGTTTGTGTTGTATCACTAGGTGAACATATGCTCCGTGCGCTTTGAGCCCTCTGCTTCGAGTTCGCGCGCCCCTCGCTTGCTCTCTTGTCAGAACAATGTGATTCGATGCTCTTCTATTTTCTTCTCCATCTATCCCCCTTGTTGGTTTGTTTGTTTTGAGTTTCAGACAGAGTTTATCCCCAAATCAGTCCGGTTCGTAATCCAATCCTCCCATTGCTCATCAATGCCTGGGCCTATCGCTCGTTTCAGTTTCACCAGGTCTGCGTCTGCTAGATCGTACTCCTTGCCCAAGTGCGCAATTACATTTCCTTCTACAAGTGTTCTCGTAGCAACCCTTCTTCCTACCTCCGCCCTCGCATTCTAGCGCTGCGTAGCTATTTTTTATCATTTGTAAAGGATCTACCTGCATACAACCGTTTTACCTCATTCTAGTGCGAAACCTCGTTTGTATTAAGCCTCATTTTTATCCATTTTCGCAATCGAGACCTCCCAGCATATGTTGTGTTTTAGCCTTTAACTGCTTAGTAGAACTACGAACGCCTTTCCCAGCTCAGCGTGGCCCTGCCCATGAGAGTGAGCAGGGTGTGGAGGAAATGATGAGCAGCATCAAGTTCTGCGTCCCATAGTTCTCTTGACAGTGTCTAGCTTCCCAGTGCTCAGCGCCGCGGTTTTGTACATTAGATTGCGAGGCCTCGCCCCCACTTCGTCGAGTCTAACTAGGGCCCTAATGCCCTTAACTGTGCGTCTTTTGTTTGTATCATTTTCTCGTCGCTTGAGGTAGATGACCATTGACTTGACCGTTTTAGTTTTCTTTGATCATGGATATCCTGTTGTGTTTTTGTAATAGCAGATTGATTCTTTGTAACGCTATGCGTTGTTTTAACATTCGTACCCGGAGTTTTACCAGTGCCCAGTTTATGACCCAGTGAGAATATATGTCCCGGTTTTACTCAAAACATGTCAAACTGTGAAAGTAGAATTGTATGTAATTAGATGACATGTTCATAAGCTAAGTTTGGTGTTTTCATGTTACGTTTTATCCTCTTTCTATTAAATATTTAGTTTGAAGTTCTTTGTACATGACAAGAACCTGGATGTATAACAAGATCATCGAACGAGGATTCGTAGGTAAACAAGA